AAACTTTCACCATTTATTAAGTTTCACTACCTCTTAAGCTGCCTGGAGTCAATTCATATCTAACATGTTTCCTTCTGTATGCAAAGCCGTATGCAAGTGAGCAAAAATGTAAACAATGACGTTAGCATGAATCCCCTATAAGCCCCCTCGGACATAAGCTCCTCTATTTATAAGCCCATCTAAAAATCCTTACAAAGTTTTGTAAGCCCAGGGCTTAAAAGCGGCAGTTTACGGCATTTGAGAAGGGCTTCATATTCTCGATATTATAGTTGTCATTCCCGATGTTATAGTTATATTTAGTTGTCAACTGAGTGATCTACATCTACCTACACCTACATTATTTATAACCTGCGAAGGGATTAACCTTAACCACAGAGAAATATAAAATATATATTTCAACAAGGAAGCTCCAATCTGTTACAATTCCAACTGGATAAATAAAAACGATGGGAATAGCCTCTTGTACGAATCATACCAATTTCCTAACTAAAGAATACCTATACCCAATTGACTGACTCGAGTTGTTTTCAACGCTTGCTTGACCCTGAGCTCCCTTTACGCCTACACAGAATGGCTGACTGCCGGGTGTAGGCGAGTTGATCAACGCGCTCCAACGCGCCCCTCCNCTCCCCCCACACCCCCTCAATGTCGACAAACCAGATCCTGCTTTCTGCCGTACTGGCAAGTTTAACTTAACTATTCACGGGCACTGCCCGAAGACCAGCCCACTTAGCAACGATCATGCTCGCCTTTCCTCCCTCCCTCCCTCCCTCTTTGTTTCCTGATTGCAGGTTACATTAGCATAATGTAGAAACTATGTACCCCAGGCAAGACGGGCCTTTCGTTAAACGTATTTATACAAGAATTTCTAATCTAATTAATTAGGCTTTTGTTTTTTTCAAATGCTTTTATCTTTTCTTTTATTGTTATATGTAAATAGTTTTATGTAACTTGTAAATCGACTTATTTTTAAATCATTCTTAGGTTTTGTTATTTCTTTTCGGGTAATTTTCCTCTACTAGTGAAGGGTTATCCTTCGCTAAAACAATTCGACATGTTAATAAAGTTATTATTATTTTTGTTATTATATTTCTATTATAAACCATAACTACTTTTAATTTGTACACAGGCTTAGCAGAACCTCCATCGGAGGACGGAGGTCTTGTGGGTCCTACCTTTGGCTGTATTATAGGCGAACAATTCGGACGCCTCAGAAAAGGAGATCGTTTTTGGCACGAGAATGAACCGAACGCAGCACTGAACACTGACAGAACGGCATTCACTGCTTGCCAGCTACGAGAGATCAGAAAGATTACCCTTTCCAAGGTCATCTGCGCTAATAGCGAAGATATTCCCTACGTCACCAGGCGAGCGCTGAGACAATCCAAGATCTTCGTAGAATGTGACAAACTTCCTGATATAGACCTTGAAGCTTGGTTGCCACGCTTTGATTGCCCGGAGAACAGGTATGTGAAGAATTAGGGTATTGAGCCGAAAACATATGAGAAGAGATAATGTGTCGTTTAAGAATTGGAACCTCTTAGGAGTGGAAAAAACTTCAAGCCACGCCCACAACTCAGGATCTTTGTACCTCTTCGGGGTTCTTTTCAAAATTTCCGACGACTATCCCCGGTTTTTTCATGTGGGAGTGTTCCCCCGGAGTTATCCCCGCAAACTCTTATTTACAAGCTTGTTGGTTCTTTTTTTCCCAGCAGTGCTTCCTCCGATTCCCCCGATTCCGCCGACGACGATACCTACTGGTAAAGAGGATCATACCAATGAGGAAAGAAAAGAAGTTGGTTAATCATACATATTCACTCAAAACTAGCTTTTTTGAAAAACTGTTTTCGTTCTAGATTAGAAAAGTGGGTCTGTTTTGCTGGGTTGAATTCCACAATCACAATCTAGTATTTAGCCATCAGTTTTATACTGCGTCGAGAATAAAGTACATAAAAGCATTTTCAAACACAGCTAGAACCTTGATGTAAAAGAGTTAGAAGTGTTTTGTTTTTCCAGTTGGCATTAGGGTCTATCAAACATTTTGACAACAGCTGGGGTGGCTGCAGTAGTAAAATCCTCTTCCATTAGACAATAATGGCTTTGGCGTAGAGAGTAGCCTTTGTCATAGTGCTTATGTTCGAAGTGAAATCTTTTTTGTTTTTGTTTTGTCATTCAGTCTTACCTATAACAAATTTCTCGATTTTGCTTGGTCCTTCGCGTGCCTATTTGTCACGTGATAGGGGCGTCAGTGGCCATGTAGGTCCAGATTACAAGCAACAGGCCATCTTTCTCACATGACTCCAAGGCTTTCTGACCAAAATTGCGAAATATAATTTAGGATAGATCTAGGAAACAGAGCCATATCGACACACAACATTCTAGTCATTTTTCATTGAGTAATTCGGTCTTTTGTAATGATGATTAAATGAATAAAAACCTTAAGAAAACCGCTTCACGCATTTGTGTATCAGACACGCGCCAAACCCCTCTATTTAGATTTCCATGAACACCTCCCGCCTCTTCATGAACAGAGAGACCCAATACTAACATACGGGCTGAAAAGATTCAAAGATGCCGTGTGAACGCTTAAAAAAAAAACGCCCGGTCGCAGATTAACGCCTTTTTACGAGCATTATGGAAAGACTCACTCGCAAAAATAAAGGAAATTTTCAAGTCCCTGTACGAAAATAGAGAAAGTATGACTGACTGGTTTGCACAGTGGACTCTCAGCTCGACTGAGTGTTCTAAGTTAGTGCCTTAGGTGGGGTCATTGTGTTATGTTATTGGT